CCTGCCAACCAGTACCTGCAGGCTCTAGCAGTGATTCTCAACCTTCCTAATGCCATGACCCTTTAATAAAGTTCCTCATGTTGTGGTGACCCCCACATGCTACTGTTATCAATCATAATGTAAATATCTGATATGCAGGATGTATTTTCATTGTTATAAAGGGGTCGCGACCCACAGATTGAGAACTGCTGCTCTAGTGTCCGAGAGTTCAGGCTCCAGGGGGGCAGTGAGGTCCTCTCTTGAGAAATCAGGAGGCTGAATCCTCTTTCTCCCCCCTCTTTCACCCATTTGTGCAGGGCTGAGTCTGGGAAGGAGGAAGCCTTCTGGCATTCTGTCTCCAGAGACACAGCCCATGAGGAGAGAAGAGAGTGTTTCAGTGGTGGGTGTTTTGGGGATCAGGGTTGTAGCTGGGGTGGAGATGTGCAGTGTGGAAGTTGCCCCCTTATTAGGCCATGTGCACCTGCAGTCCTTGCCAATCTGAGAAGTTTCCAAACAGACACAGAAGGAGACCCTCACCAATCTTGAAAGCTCCCATGAGGAACTTGGAATTACAGAACAAGAGCTCATTAAACTATAGAGGACACTGTCATAGCCAAGGGGCCACCTTCAGGGATAGGCTGGAACAATAGGCAGAGGCCACCAGTGGTGTCAACTGTGATGCCCCAGAGACCTTTGGTTCCTTAAAGGAGAAAGCACCATGATTCTGGGCAGGCAGTAGCCTGAACCCACTCTGTATGGCACTCCTGGGTTTCTGGTCCTCAGGGCAGAAATGAAAGGGACTGACTTGCTAAGCAGACACAGCTTCACCTGGGCAAAGCATGCTGCCTTGGCCATCCTAGTGCTGAGCTAGAAGGAGGGAGCTCTGGGTACTCCTGGCTATCCCTGTGCTGAGCAAGAGGGACAGAGAGCTCTGGGCCCTTGTTTCACTGGCTGGTCTTTGTTTTCTGCTGTAGGACCCCCTGCCTCCAACCCTGCCTGTGGTAGGACCCAAGACAGGCTTTCACCAGGACCAAGTGCTTCCTTCCTGGGAGGGGCCTGATGGAAGAGCCTTGGTGGCCCTCAGTCTCTCCTGGTGCCCACTTGGGGGCAGGCAAGCATTAACACTGGGCAACAGGAAGTGGTGCCCAGAGTAGGTTGGAGGTACTCCTGGCTCCTTCCCTGCCAGCTCTGTTTAGGTGCCCAGCTGGACACTGTGTGGACTCCTTCCTGAGCTGAACTGCTCACCCTGAGTTTTGATGTTTCAGAGACTTTCTAAAGTTCTGTGCAAAACTTTGTGTTTGTGTATGTGCTTTTGTGAACATATGCATATGTGTGCTACTGTTAATACATCCCTGACTTCCTTCAGCCTTTCAGAGAGGACAGGCTCATGCCCAGGGCTGTAAGCCAGGCAGTGCTTGGTTCAAACTGGAGATATTCAGACTCATGCCTTCCCCAGGCTGTATGCAGTTCTCCTCACCAAAGACGTCTTCATGATGAGGTGAAGACTCTGTTTGCATATCTAGGCTTGTGTCCAGATGCACTTGTGACAGTTCCCACTGGGATCCTATGGACACTTGGATGCCTCCTGCTGAAAGCCTGGGATGCTGGGGAAGGCTAGTCCTAGCTCTGGGGTCAGAGCATCTCCTCCTTGTACAGGGGACGAGCGTTCTGCTTCAGTTGTGACTCAGCCTTGGCTAGAACCAGGGGGCCTGTACAGCTGCCCATTGTGCAAGGACTGGGCAGAGTGGATACAGCATTGAAGATATTAGAAAGACCAAAAAAGCCTTTAAAATGTCTATGAGAGGCTTGGTGCCCATAGCACAATGGTTATAGCGCCAGCCACATACACTGAAGTTGGTGGGTTTGAACCCAGCTCAGACTGGGTAGCTAAAACAACGACAACTGCAACAAAAAATAGCTGGGCATTGTGGTGGGTGCCTGTAGTTCCACCTACTTGGAAGGCTGAGACAAGAGAATTGCTTAAGCCTAAGAGTTTGAGGTTGCTGTGAGCTGTGACATCACAGCACTCTACCAAGGGCGACATAGTGAAACTCTGTCTCAAAAAAGAAAAAAAGATGTCTATGGAACTGTGTTCAAGGATGGAAAGAAAAATGTACTTACAGGTAATGAAAAGCTAAATCTCAGAAGAGAAATAAAAAATACAAAAGAAATCCAGAGGATTAATTCTTTTAAAAACATATCTGTTTTCTCTTCTTCTTCAGATGAGATACTTCCAACTGATCCATCTTCCTTTTTGCTGATCTTTCCTTTGCCAAATTCATTCTGTTAAGTTCATCCTATGACTTAAAAATTTAAGCTGTTATATTTTTCATGTTTTTAATCTAATGTTTTAAACTATAAGTCAATACAGTTTTATTTTTATTAATGCCTGTGTTTAATGACAAAGTGGCAAAGTTTCTGAAAATTAATAGTTGGCTTTTGTGAACTGATACGAGCCAACTTTTGTGAGTCAATATGGGGAAGTCATGACTGTTGGTCTTGTAGACTGGGCCGAATACCCTACCCAGTCCCTGACATCATTTATGTGCCTGAAGGACATGAAAGGCAGAGATTTGCTCCAAATCACAACACTAGGCTGCAGGTGATCCCAGGGTGTTCTCAGCCTCCTTAGCCCTCCAATGCCTTCTCTGTGGGTTTTGTGCCTTTTTTTTTTTTTTTTTGAGACGGAACCTCAAGCTATCCCCCTGGGTAGAGTGCCGTGGCATCACGCTCACAGCAACCTCCAACTCCTGGGCTCAAGTGAGTCTCCTGCCTCAGCCTCCCAAGCAGCTGGGACCACAGACACCCGCCACAACGCCTGGCCATTTTTTGGTTGCAGCCATCATTGTTGTTTGGCGGGCCCGGGCTGGGGATTCGAACCTGCCACCTTAGGTGTATGTGGCTGGCGCCTTAGCCGCTTAAGCCACAGGCGCTGAGCCGTGCCTTTTTCTTATTTACAAATCCAGTCAGTAAACCTCTCCCTGGACCTTAATGAAAGCCTAGACCAAGCAGTCTGAGAGGTGCTGACCGAGGTCTGTGGGGGAAGGGAGATTTTAAGTAGGAAATAAAGTCACATGAGTTGTGGCCATTGGCCAGAGTAATGTGTCCTGCTTCTGAATGCTCAACCTGGAGGATGTTGCCCTAGTGATGGAAAACAGAGTGGGAACAGCCTTCTGTTGCCTTGGGGGATGGACGCAGGGCTGGGAGGCAGGTGGGGATTTCATCCTCTCTCTGCTTTCCTGAGGCTGGTCTGTAATTGACCCCAAACTCCCAACACTAACCCTCCCTACAGGCCAGGAGAGGGCTCTGGAGACCTGGCCAAGGGAAAAAAGGTAGATAGATTCCTGCTCAGTCCCGAGCTGGGCACTGGAGTCCTCTCCCCATATCTCAGGCTGCACCCACCTCATAGCATCTTCCCCTGGGGTTGTGGCTCTGTGGCTTGGCTGTGATGCCATATGGACTAGGCCAGAGGTCTAGGCCTAGGGCTCAGGCTGGGTGACGCCCTTGGTTGCCCATTGTCTAATTAATCTGTTTATAGCAATGTGTCCAGCAGAGCTAAGGAGGGCATTGGGTGGGGCTGATTATGGGGGTCTCCACATGGGGACTCTGTATAGGGACGATCACCTCCAATGACACCCTGATGTTCTGGGGACATGTTGCTGGGGGGAAAAGGGTTCTGGGTGTCTTCAAGTTCCCTTCTTGTGGGCAAGCACACAAGTGCTTCAAGATCTTGGAAACAGACTGTCCAGCCATCATTATCCAGAGCTCCTGACAAGTTCAGACCCAGCCTTTTTGTTTACTCTCAGGACAGTAGGAAGTCCCAGAGAGAGGACTTGGGGCCCAGGGCTGCCCTCTGTACCCTGAGACAATATCCATCATCCTCTGGCTGGGGACTTTCCTACTCCTTTACGTTCACCTTCAGTCTCAGCCATCAGGGCTAGGTTTTTTTTGGGGGGGGAGGGGAGGTGTGGAAGTGTTGGGCCAAAGAGGAGAACCAGCTTCCAGGCCCTAAGAAGGGAATTCTTCACTGCCAAGGAAGTGGGTGTTCCTAATAAGGGTTATGGAGAGGCCTGGCCTGAGACCTGGGACAGGACTAGCGTTAAAACGTAGTAGCTGTCCACATACCTGAACCCTGCAACAGGTCCAAGTGCATGGACCCAGCGCTGACATTGGTCTCCATGCTCTGAGCAGTTCTATTGATCACTGAAAGTTCCCTGGAGGGGGGGGTGCCCCCACTTCCTTTGTAGGAGAGATAAATGCCTCTGAGGATGTTGGGGAGGGGGCAGGGCAGAGACCTGGGATGGTGAGGACACTGTCCTCTCCAGCCCAGACTTGGGCAAGGGCCCAGTGAACCTCGCCTAGGGCCTGGAACTTTCTCTCCTGAGATGCTTTGGCTGCTCCTGGTCCTATGCTGCCTGGAGGCCTCTGTGTCTAGGACTGCATGCCAGTCTACCTCACCCTGCCCTGGCTCACAGCCTTGCCCTGAGGTGGTGTGGGGACCATCTACTTGCCAGTAGCTTCACTTGCTCCTGAGCTCTGAGCAGAACCTCGCTGGTCCCCTGGTAGCCCCTCAACTTGTTCCCTGGGCCCTGGCTCAGACTGAGAGTTGATAGGCATCATCCGGGGCTGTGATGTCATGGTCAGGCGGTACCCCTGGCAAGTCACCCTGAGGTTCTACAGCATGCGGTTTAGCCTGTAGGGGCACCTCTGTGGGGGCTCCCTCGTGCACCCCCATGGGTGCTGACTGCTGCCCACTGTCCAGCTGTGAGTGGGGCTGCCCCATCCTCTTGGCTGGATGCTGGTGGAGGTGGGGAAGGGGATGTGTGCTGTATGCAGGGTCTGGAGCTGGGAGGTAGGACTTCTGAGGGCCCCTCCCCAGGATTTGGAGATCCCAGGCTTGGGGAATCTGGCCCAACTCCTCTTCTGAGGGTCTCTGGTCTCCTGTTTCCAGGGAGGAGCTGGAGGCTTGTGCCTTTAGGGTCCAAGTTGGGCAGCTGAGACTCTATGACCATGACTAGCTGATGAAGGTGGCTCAGATCATCCGCCATCCCCAGTACAATGACAGCCTGTCTGCCAAGGAGAGCACAGACGTGGCCCTGCTGGAGCTGGAGGCCCCTGATGCTTTCGTAGCACGTGTACCCCGTGTCCCTGACGCCTGCCTCCCTAAGGTCCACTCAGGGAAGACCTGCTGGGTGACTGGCTGGGGTGACATTGTGGATAGAAGTAGGTGTCAGGGAGGCTTGGTGGGGCTACAGAGAGAGGTCTGGGGAAGCTAGATGGGTCCCTGGCAGTGTTTGGTGAGACTTCTTCTGGGCATCTGGCAAGGTCCCTCTAGCTGCAAGTGGTGGCCAAGGCGAGGGTTTCCAGAAGCCACTGCATGGGTTTCCTGAGGTGACAGTGACAAGTGACCACAGACAAGGTGACTCAGAACAACAGAAATTTATCTTCTCACAGTTTTGGAGGTCAAAAGTTCCAAATCTGGGAGTTGGCAGGTCCCTTCCTTCTAGAGGGGGAGTCCACGCCTTACCTTCCCCAGCTCTGGCATCCCCCAGCACAGCAGCCCTCAGTGGCTCTCTGACCCCTTTGTGCAGGGCCTCTTCTCTCTGAGCATCTGTGCCCATATCCCCTCTGCCTCCCTGTTCTAAGGACACAAGTCATTTGATTTAGGGTCCCCCAGTCCAGCATGACCTCATCTTCCTTCAGTTACAACTGCAAAGATCCTGTTTTCCAGCAGTAGGGTGAGAACGTGGGCATATCTGTCTACCCCACGATGAGCACTTGCGTACTTTTTATTCAACCCTCATAATCCTCAGGTGGGTGCCGCTCCTTCCTCTGCACGAAAGCAACCCTGAACTCAAGGAGGGTAGATGTTTGCCCGGGCTCCACAGCCTGTTGGCACTGAGCAGACATGTGTGCAAAGCTAGTGGCACTTGTGCCTGTATCCCAATTGTGATTATAAGGGCAAGCCTTGCCGTTCTAGCCCCCCGGGGCCCAGGACTGCAGCCTCAGGGCTCACCTTGGGAGCCCATGCCCAGGGTAGATCCAGTTCAGGTCTTGGTAGGAAGCAGGGGCCCCTGCTCTGCCAGGATCCCAGTGCCTCACTCTCTTCTTCCTACAGAACCACTGCCCTGGCCTTTCCGCTTACAGGAGGCAAAGGTGAATGTCAGGGGCAATGAGATCTGTGATCAGATCTGTACCCATGGCTTCCCTTCCAAAATTACTACCCAGTTAGCAGGGACACCATACTATGTGCTGGGAGTCACCATCATGGCACTTGGCGGGTAAGAGCCCAGTCTTCCCTGTCCCACTTTTCCCTCCTAGCCCATGAAACGAGGACCCACGTGCCTTGTTGCCATGGCATATGAGAAGCCTTGCTGAGTGATACTTTCCCCACAGGGTGACTCTGGGGTGTGTAGGTGGAACTGCCCCTGGGTCCAGGTGGGGGTAGTGAGCTGGGGCAACTTCTGTGGTCATTGTGACTTCCCTGGGGTGTATGCCCATGTGACAAGCTACATGTCTTGGATCTGGTAAAACATCTCTAGGTTCTCTGGGCCCTAGATGGGTCCAAGGTGGGCTCCATGTGGTGGGGGAGACCCTCATTCTTCCCTCTTGGTACCCTGCCCCTCCCCAGTCCCAGCCTCCCTGGCCCAGCACACAGTGTTCTCCCCTCCTCCTTCCTAGCCCTTCCAGAGGCAGAGGCATGGGGATCTGAAGGCCTGTGTCTCCCCAGTGAGCTAGTGTGCATGGGATGGCAGGCCCTGGATCAGCTGCCTGTGCCCCATGAATCTTATTAGACTGTGTGTAGCAGCCTCTGTGCAGCCCAGTGGATTTGTCCATAAAGGGCTGCCTCTGAGGGTCTCTAAGCCCTGGCCTCACAGGTGGGGTAGCATGGGACTCAATGTGGGAGGCAGGGTGTCCAGGCCCATGTTCAGGACAGAGCTGTGTATTCAGCCTGTGTGGTTCCCTCTTCCCACTCTCCCATCCATGTCCTCTTTCACAGTCAATGGTTTGCCCTGGGCCAACTCTTGGTGGAGCTGGATAAAGAAAGCATTGGCTTCTATTGAGGGTGGTGGGAAGCCATGCCCACAACTCTGTGTGCAGCATGGAGATGTCTGCGTGGTATACCAGAACAGCTTGGGAGTAGCACCCCAGGGTGTCCCTGGATGGGATGGGGGATTAACTAGTGGGAGCTGTTTGGGTTGGACCATAACAATGAGCCAGGCTTCTTCCCTTTGGAGCAGAGATATGCTGGGGTCACAGTGACATGCTTGGCTGGGTGACAGAGTTTGAGGGGCAGAAGTCTTGGATGCTGGGCTGAGGGTGGAAGGGACAGGCACCTTCAGAGCCTGATGCAGCCTCTCATGGGGAGACAGGCTCTTTCTTCCCAGAGAGTGGCCGTCTGTAACCCACAGACCCGCCCGAGGCCTGCTCATGTTCCCATCCAGCCTCAGCCAGTGTATTGAGGGGCCTCAGACTGAAAATATGCAACAGTGGGGTCTGCCCAGGCTCTGAGTTTTCCTGGGAAAAGGTGATTCTTCTGATGGGACCAGGACCCCCTGAGGCTTGCCTTGTCCAGCTGGTCTTATGCCATGTCCACTGGTCACCCAAAGCACCAGTTGAAAGCCCTCTGCTGTCTCTTGCTCAAAAGCCTGTGTCTGGGGGTAGCCTTGGTGATGGGAATCAGAGAGTCAGATAACCTGCTGGGGTGAGGAGGGAGAGGCTAGGGAGACAGCTGCAGTGTTTCATCCTCTCTCTGATTTCCTGGTGCTGGTCTGTAACTGACCCCAAACTCCCAACACTAACCCTCCCTGCAGGCCAGGGAAAGGCTCTGGAGAGCCAGCCAAGGGGAGTAAGGTAGGTTCCTGCTCAGTCTCGAGCTGGGCACTGGAGTCCTCTCCCCATATCTCGGGCTGTACCTGCCTCATAGCATCTTCCTTTGGGGTGTGGCTCTGTGGCTTGGCTGTGATGCCATGTGGACTGGGCAGGGACCTGGGCCTGGGGCTCAGGCTAGGAGGTGTCCTTCATTGCCCCTTGTCTAATTAATCTGTTTACAG